ATAGATCCAGGGCATGCAACTTTGAGCAAGTCCCCACCACTGCCAGAGCCTCAGTTTCCTAATTTGTAAAATAGAAATCTTTTTTTTTCTTTCTTTTTTTTTTTTTGGAGAGGTTTTCGCCACAGGGCGCGTGCGCTCGCCAGACAGACAGAGAGAGACACAGAGACAGAAAGCGAGAAACCACCCCCCAGGGGGGATGGTCACGCCGCAATCCCTTCTCCTCCATTCTCCTCTCGGGATCTTGGGCACGCACGCACACGCGCCCGGCGTGAATTTTAAGCCACCAGGTCCGGGACGCGAACTGTGGTCAACTACGTGGTTACAGTTGGAAAATTCTTTCCAAATTCTTTCCAAATCTGATATTTTGGGATTCTAAATTTCTTTCATCTCTTCCAGTTTACATATTGGTTTATATTTCAGAAAGCTAAATTTTCTTATAAAACTCTAAAAATGCATTGAATCAGAGAGAATAAAATTCCTAGAAGCATTCAAGTTTGTAACCCAAACTGTAATTTGAAATATTTCTTCTTACTCTGTGATTTATAGAACTTGGAGCCACAGTTTGTCAGCATGTGTGTTATTTTCACTTTCCAGACAATGAGGAGTTATTCTGAGAAGGATAAAGGGATAGGACAGTTATTGCTCAGGCGTCTTCAAGTGCCTTCCTTCAGAGCCTGAGAAGTCTGTTCTACCCAGCTGTCTGGCAGGTATGAAGGATAGAGTCTGCTAACTGGCAAGTATGTCTTGCAAGTTTGCTCAAGTGATGATCCACTACAATATCCACACATTCAGGCAAAGCAATAAATGATAAATGCAGAAACAGTAAGACTCCAATATTTCTACAATATCAAGGCACATCTCATTGTGTTTGTATCCACTGTGACCATATTGATCCTAACGTGTAGCTTTATAATTTGCAAAAGTTCCTTTTTTACTCTCAGTAGTTCACAATAGCAAAAAACCTTGTAACATAGATGGGTCATGGCAGGAAAGGGCGGGGCTGAGACGACTATCATTTTGTACTAATAGAAAAACAAACAAACAAACCTAGTCTAAGTTTTCCATTTCAAATTTTAATTCAAGTTTGCAGTATTTTGCAAGTTTTCATGTATAGGCAGAAATGTCAAAATCAAGATCTGAATCCAGGTTGTCTGATTGCTCATCTTTTGTTCAATCTATTGTTACCTCTCACTGTTGTCAACTTGACTCTCACAGAGGAGTTAAATGCTGGGAAGGACCAGTGAAAAAGTACAACATCATGCTGAAAGTTGGGAACTCTAGTGAAAATGGAACTATCTGGAAGTCAGACTGATGGGAAAGGTGGTCATTTACAAAAAGTAAGACTTAGAGAAATATCAGACTTCTTACCAGCACCTCTTGGGTATTAGAAGACAATGAAAACTTCACATTTCAGAGGATAGAGATTTGAACATAGAACTCTAAACTCACGTAAACCATCAGAAAAATTCAGGGCTAGCAGTTGTAGTGGTTAAGGTGCTGGATCTCACATGGCCAACTCTACAGTTCGAGTCCCAGATCTGGACAACTTGAAAAACATGCAGGACGCACACGTATGTGTGCTCAAAATCCCAAGAGGAGATGCAGGAGAAAGGATTGCAGTATGGCCATCTCCTCTGGGGGATGGTTTCTCCCTCCCTCTCTATCTCTGTCCAACCAGCTCACATGCTCTTTGGCAAAAAGCTCTCTTTTTTGAATGTGCAAAAACTCAAGAAAACTCATTGCTTCACAATCACTGAACGAAAAATATCACTAGAAATGTGGTCCTCCATCAAAACAGAATGGAAATTTGAGAAAGAGGATTAACTGGAGTACATAAAACAGTGGCAGCAGAAAATGATTTAGAAGTAAAGGAGGCTAGGTATTGAGTAATAGAGACTCCATTTGGTGGGGCATTTGGAAGATTCTTCTTTACGTGAAATATGTTGGTAGCATAAAACATTTCCTTCTGTATGACTTACCCACATTTTCTGGTTCTTTAGCAAAAAAAAAAAAAAGAAAAACCTGAAAATAAAAAATTATATAATTATTACATTATAAATTCTGGTCATTAACTTTAATAATATACTTATTAAATAATCACATAAAAATATATGTAATTTCAAAGAAAATGCAGATGTTATAAAATTAAACAGAATAAAAATAATTATTGATGAAAGAAAAATTTAGAGAGAGAGGAATGTACCAGTGTGGTTTTCTTTACAGTGGAGTTTATTGCTGTCTAAACATGAAAAATAATGAAATTAAATTTGTTTATGTCATGTAAATTCATGAAGACAATTAGTAGAAGATCCAACAATAATAATAAAGCTAACAAAAATTGGGAAGTACAGAGGAAAGAAAAAGTGAATAGCAATAAGTGAGTAAACTTCCTGGCTTTCAATCCAGAAAATAACAACTTCTGTCTGGAGTTGATAAATCAAAAAATAGAGACCTAAGTTTGTTATATAAAGCTATAACAATAATTACTAGTAAAACTAAAAAGAGAGAATACTGACAGTAGCTGTCTCAGGGGAAAAAGATTGGTAATGAAGTGGAGAATTATTTTACTTTTTATTTCTGTTCTTCTGCACTGTTTGAATATTTTAAAGTTCTGTGCATGCATTAACTCTATATTTAAACAAAAGAAAATTTATTCTATTTGAAAATCTAATAACATGTAGATAAAAATCTAGATGATGGTTTGACTAGATACTGGCATATACTTAAAATCATCACATAAAAAAAAGAGAGAAGACTTTTTAAAACTCAGATTCCTCTCATTTATTTTAAAAATGAAATATCCTGAACCAGGAGAAAGAAAGTAAGAACCCAAAGAATAATTTGCAGTATATGAGACCATAAATTAATCTAACCATAAAATTCAGATTAATATTCTGCTCAAGAATTCAACTGGAAATATTTTAAGTAGCCAACATTGGCCGAAGTCTGAAGCACTGTTACTATCAGAACTTGGTATCTTTTGCACAATTACATCACCCTCTCATCAGCCTGGTTTCAAAAGAAGACGCGAGTTTGATCTTCTCTGCTCCCTTCTTCTCCTTGGTTACTTAGCTACAATGGAATCATATCAATGCTACTTTAATAAGGAATGTATTTCCAAGAGTTTATAAACTGCAAAGTCTTAGATCAATATTATTAACATCATTTTTATGCTTTGTTCATCTGTCATGGTATAGGGAAACACCCACGCAGATTTTGGATAGATTTACACACAGAAACACATGTTTTCTTGTCCTTCACCAAGCAAATAAAAGTGATTTGGCAGAAATTCTAGGCCCTGTGACCAACTAGGTCCTTGAATCCGACTGTCTCTGCAAAAGGATGTGGTTCTCTCAAAGCACGTTTTCCCATTTCCTCCTTAACCAAGCAGAGATGCTGAGCAGTGACATACTCTTGCCTCAGATTTAGCTTTCTGTCCCTCCCTCTCTTCCTTCCTTTCTTTTTTTATTTTTCATTTCCTTCTTCTTTTTTTCCCCCTCTTTCACCATTTCTTCCTCCTCCATCTCCTTCTACTAGGTAAACCCCAACAGAGAACTTATCTTTCTGAACCCCCAGCATGACCTCGCCACACCCTTACATGTGCTAGGTCAATGTATGTTTTATCAGTCGCCATGGTGCCACATATTTTACCACCTCTATAGGCTTAATCACATGGTTTACTCTGTCTTTACCCACCTCCGCACCCACCATACCCATTGCCCCAACCTCAGGTCCTACTCAACCTTCAAGCCTCATCTCATGGGTCAACTTCCTTCATTAAACCTCCTTTGAACTTCCCAAACTAAAGCAATGTCTCCCTCCTTTGCTTATTTTTGCTGTGGTACAAGTCTCTATACCTCTTTTTGGAGTTATTTACTCACATGCCCTAACATCTGACCATTCTGTGAGAACCACGCCTAAGTTTTCTCTCTGCTCATTTTTCGACAAGGCCTAACATATATATATGGTCAATCCACAAGAGTACATACAGAGATCTATTGATCTGCAAGGTTAACACAGCTAGTGTACAGTCAAGTTAAGGCTAGGACCCAAGTTTATTTGCCTGTTCTCTGGTGCACTTTCCTTTACACCACATGGTCTCACACATTTCACCACACATTTAAAAGCTGCTCCAACCATTTGAGCTATAATAAGGAATCAGGAGAACAGTCTTGACCCATTGCAGTTTGATATCAATTCAAGCTGACAAGGCAAAACAAAAGGTATGAAAGTGTCCTTGAATGAAGCAAACATTAGGACTTGCCATCTTGATATTTCATGCATAGTGAAAACATGTCAGATCCCATTAAGCACTTTCAACATTCTTTAAAGAAAGGACAGAAGATGCTTCGTGAAGTGTCATGGCTGCTACCTACTTTTTAACCTATTGTCCTCAGGTGAAGGAAATAAACTGTTGTCAGGAAGTACCTTGCACTAAGAAGACCTTCACAAAGCATTTAGATGTCCGCATGTGTTTTCTGAGATCACCAAAGACAATGCGGTGACTTAAGAGGTTAAGAATTAAGAGGCTAATCTTTCCAATCTGCTATCTGCAGTGGGATCACCACCAAGATGCAGATTTTCATAAAAACCTCTACAGGGAAGACTATTACCCTCAAGGTTGACTTATTGGATAAAATAGAAAATTTAAGGGGCCAGCAGGTGGTGTGGTGCTTCAGGTGCTGAACTTCCACATGGTCAACTGTGGTTCAAGTCTCAGACCCAGTGACTTGAAAGTCATGGAGAGCACATGTGTGTGTATGCTCAAAATCCCAAGAGAACCATGGAGGGGAAGGGATTGCAACATAGCCATCTTCTGAGGGGCAATTTCTCACTTTCTCTCTTTATGTTTCTCTCTGTTTCTGACCAGTGTGTGATCCCTATAGCAAAAAAAAAACCCTAAAAATTTAAAAAAAAAAAAATTTAAGGAAAAGGCCAAGATCCAAGATAAGGAAGGAATTCCTCCTGATTACCAGAAACCGACCTTTTCTGGCAAGCAGTTGGAAGATGGACATTGTCTGAGTACAACATCCGAAAGGAGTCCTTGCATCATCTCATGTTGAGACTTTGTGAGGGTGCTAAGAAAAGAAAGAAGTCTTACACCACTTCCAGGAAGAGTAAGCCTGAGGGAAAGAAGGTTAAGTTGGCCATCCTGAAATACTGTAAGGTAGATGAAAATGGTAAAATTGGCCGCCTTCCTCAGAAGTGCCCTTCAGACGAATGTGGTGCTGGAGTTTGCTGGCTAGCCACTTTGACAGACATTGTTGTGACAGATGTTATTGACTTACTGCTTCAGCCAACCAGAGGACAAGTAACTGTGTACGAGTTAACGAAAAAAATTAACTACCTTAAAAAAAGAATTAGGAGGCTAAATTACTTAATAAGTCTGTCTTCCAGAGGTATTTTTTGAAAGAATAGAATTTTTACTATTATAAGTTGACATTATTTAACTAATAAACTTCTGTACTCTTTTTATCATTTAAAAATTTAAAAGCAATTAGGACAAAAATGAACAGTATACAATGATTATTACACACTGTATGCATGCTTTGAAAATTCCTATTATGGAACTAAGGTAGATCTCAAGAAAGTCAACAGAAGCTCTTAGAAAGATTGCCTGGCACAATAAACAGTTTTTCCGGCAGAGAGGATTAGAGAAGCCATATAAAAGACTTCATACCATAAAATAACTTGGACTTTTCCAGCCCGGCATTGTAATCAGTAGAGATTGTAAAAGAGCAGCCACAACCAGAGGATTACCTTGAGGAAGACTTTGAAGGAAGAAAAAGAGATTGATCTTTGCTAGCAAGTGGCAAACCACAGAATACTTGGTAGGCAGAGTTGAGTTGGGAAGATTCATGTGTGAATTGTGTGCTGGGTGTCTGCTTTTCAACAGCTGACGTAGTTAACATGTAAATGTTTTCTCAAAATATTTAAAACCATACTCTCTCTTTATTAAAGAGTCACAGACAAAATTACAACAAATATTTTGAAAGTTATCTTTAAAATGCAATTTTTTTAATTCTGAAATTTATTTTATCTATTAACTGTCCAGAACTATGAAGTACGGGCAAAATTTTTTGATACGTAGAGTAAATGTTTATGAAAAAATGTAAATGAATAAATAAATACATAAAGCCCCCCCAAAACCCATATTACACCCTACAAAAATATATGACAGTATATGTAAAGAAGAAATTATAAAATAAAATTTAAAAATAGAAACTATAATCCTAATCTAAATTTTTGTCAAATTTTCTTTATTATTTTATCCTAGACAATAATACGAATAAACAATAAATTATCATCCTAAATATGTGAGCCACGGAAGACAATTTGGCTGAATTCATATGCTTCTTTTATATCCTGGGTCAAAACAAACATTTATGGCAACTGTACATTAATCTGAAATGTTCTCAAACCAATCTTTATTGTCTGAATCTCTACTTTTCTATACTGCCCAAAAAATCTCATATCAAAGTCACTTGTCTTCCTCATTATGTACAACCCACTTACATGAGAGTCTATCACCCAAGACAGCTCAAGTGCCCTGTCCTAGTTGGGAAATTGAGGCTTGAAAAAACACACTGTCTGAAGTACTCATTATTTGCACAGTGTAACAAAAAATCTTTTATCTAAAACATCTTAAGAAAACTAAGTTCAGGTACTTGATATGAGAATGACTCTACATCTTTGCATAATAGATAATATCTAGATACTTACAATCACATCTTCCTCTGGGCGCTTGGAGTACTTTATACCTGAGGGATGAATCCCCTGGAATATTCTTTATTGTGGCTGCATGTAGAACCCTTGTGGTGTTTCTCATCCACCATTCCTTGTTTGTTCAAATAAGACATTTTCCCTTCTTTTGTATGCAATGTCACCCTCTTTGAAACAAGTACCTCTTTCATGCTGTTACTGCCGTAAGTAATATAAATGTCCATTGGAAAGCACAAATCTTCTCAACGTATACATGAGAAGAAAATCCCATCCAGACGTTGAAGTGGGTTCAATAATGTCACCTTATTATAATATCTTATTAGATATGTCTGAGTCCTAAACCCCAGTACCTGTGAATGTGACCTTTCTGAAAATAATTACGTATTTGCAGATATAATTGAGTAAAGGATGTCAAATGAGATTATTCTGGACTTAGAGTGAGCCGGAAGTCCAATGATAAGATAAAGGAGAGGAAGATCTGAGACATGGAAGCACAGAGAGAACGCTGTGTAAAACTGGACGCAGAGACTGGAACTATGCAACCAAACGGGGGAAACCAAAGGACTGTGGCAAACACCAGGAGCTAGGGGAAAGGCCAGGTGCTGCTTCTTCCCAGAACCTCCAGAAGGAAGCAGCTTGGCCAATACCTCAGAAGTCTAAGACTTCTGACTTTCCAAACTGGGAGATAAGTTTGTGGCACTTTGTCATGGCACTGTCATGAAACTGGTGCATAGCAATAGGCTATTGGCTACAGGAAAAGAAAAGTGCATGCAAGTGCGCATATATGTGCACAAACACATCTGCGTAAGTTGGAGTCATTACAGTGATCACAAAGCTTCCTGTTACATTACAAAAGTTATAGCTGAGAGTAGTATACAATAAATACTTGTTCTGTGAATGCCTGCTGCATCTGAAAACCAGCAGTACATGTATTACATAGGTATGGCCCAGCTCCAGCCACAGGTAGACATAGAACAGTTATAAATCTTCCTGAAGCTGGGGGAAGTAAAGACATTACTCAGGCAATTTTTCCCAGTCTTTCCTGGAGATAGCAAGTAGCAAACATCAAAAGCCAAAGCTTCCCTCCACAGGCACCCATGATCCCGTCCCGTGGCCAGTTGAAAGGAGTCTCGTTTATCTCATGTTCCTGCCACCTCTCTTGTTCCCTCGTATCGGTCATTTGTGTACATGAGGTCTGTCTCATATCAAACCAAGCAAGTGCAGGCCGACTCTGTAAAGTGGGAAGCCGCTGAAGTTGAAATCAGGAGATGTAAACTTGCCTTCCACCATGACCCAGGGCAAACTAGATTCGCTCTGTGTCTCAGGCTCTTCTGTCAAATGGTAATAAAAATCCCTGTCAGACATCTCTCACCATCTTCCTGTGATGAAATAATTGGAGTGAAAGTACAGCCAGGAAGAGTGTGCAACAGACTGCCCATGAACCGGAAAGGCAATCCCCATTTAAAACAAACAGACGAAAACTTGCTCTTTGCATTTTCAGAACACAGCTCACCATGGAGCCCTCCATGCAGCGGGTCTAAGCAAATGTCTGTGACACAAATACAGATGTCCAAGTGGAGTACTTTACTCCATCAGACTAGACCAGGAAGCTTCAAAGCAGGGTTTGATGAATGCCCTTGGAAACAAATCGATGCACCAGCAAGGCGATTTGACTTTACAACTGCACAAAAGTCACCTTGGGGAATAATATAGAACAACACTTCTATTTTCAAGTGGTCACTGAGTGGTTCTGGGCAGCCCCACCCCTGTGTGAATGGAGACCAAGAGACCACTCCTCCTTTTCTGGGTGTCAGACTGTAAAGATGGTTAACATCTCACATTTGGCATTCTGTAGAATTGTAATGAGGCACTTTATTTCTTATTTTTAGATAACTGGATTCTGAGCTAATGTAGAATTTGAGACTTTTTTATTTCACCCATCTAAGTTACTATTCTTACTCCATTTCAGACTCCTTCCAAAGAGTCTTTCTCTAGCAACACGGTGATCCGGTTGGTTTGTGGAACACATAGCACAGAGATAGAGCTTCTCTAGTTGTCAAGCAACCTTAGGAAAGTTTACCAAATTACTGACAAATTAGACTCTTGCGGAGATTTTTCCAGGGCTTCTTAATCAGAAACCTTTGGACCCCCTAAAGTCCCTTTCAGGACTATTCTAACCCCCCACCAAGTTGTTTCCACATGGGCATGTGCACAGGTACTATGGGGAAGGGGATCACTTCCAGCAGATCTTGAATAGATTAATAATGATTGTTCCACTTTCATTTCCTCATTTCAAATATTCTTACCAACATGCTACTCCTACTCTTGTTTCTACTGCTTAGACATCGAGTGCCAGCACCTACAGATAGGTGCTCCACCTGTGTTATCTCACATAATCCACACAACCACCTTCCAATTTAGCACTCTTTTGTTTTGTTTTGCTTTTTTAGTTTTTGCCATGGAGTGTGGGCACTCATTAGAAAGAGACTGGGGAAGAAAGAGAGAGAGAAAAATCATTCCCCAGGTAGATGTCCATGACACAGTCCTTTCTCCTTCATTCCCTTTTTGGGATTTTTGGGCACACATGCATACACACCCAGCATGATTTTCAAGCCACTGGGTCCTGGATTTGAACCACACAGTCAGCCATTTGGGATCTGCCACCTTAACCTCCATGCCACCTGCTGGCCCAGTGTATTTATTATGTGAGAGGAGGGTAGGAAATGGAGATAGGATGAGAGAGAAGCACACATGCATACACACCCAGCATGATTACACTGCCACCTTATATATATACACATATATATATATATATATATACATATATATATATGTATATATACATATATATATGTTGATGATAATATGTATGACGATATCTTTGATTGAACCAATAAACAAAAATAAAAAGTATTATCACTGTCAGTGAAACAATTGAGACTGAATAGCTCAGCTTAGTTTGGTTTAACTGAACTTGGCTGAGGTCACTTCACTAGCAACATAGGACAAGGACCCAGTTTTCCACAGCCTGAAGACTGTATTTTCTACTGCACAATAGCTATTCTCTCTGATGGGATTGTTTTCTCTAAGCTTTATGTGACTTTGTTTATCAGAGCAAACACCTTCCTAGGGTTAACTAATTTCTGGTGGATTGGAAGGCCACCACTCACTCTCCATAAAAGCTGCAGCAGGGTTTTGTTTCCTAGTGCCGCCTACTGTCATGCATCTTGGACATGGAACAGTGGTCTCAGAGGGAGAGGCAGGAGACCCTGAGGGAGGAGGAGCACAAGGAACAGGAGGCAGCATTCTCACCTTGGCTCTGTGAAGAAATGCCAGAGAAGGCTGCTGGTCTCGTTCCTCTCACAAATGAAAACCGAAACCCAGGAAGGAGACATGACTGGCCTAAAACACGAACTAGACCAAAGCACGTAGGAATGTGTAAGAACTGGAAGGCGGAACTCCAGGTGCCAGGCCAGGTTCTTCCTGCTGGATGACTTCAAGAAGTCTCCTCTTCTGTTCCTCAGTTTCCTCTTATGGGAAATGAGGACACTGAATTGTCAGATTTCAAAGTTCCTTCCTTCTCTTCACTTACTGAAGCTTCCTGATTTTGAACATGTATTGCAAAAGCACCAAGTATTAGAATAATTAATCAAATCTCACAAAGTTTTAAAGGTCATGAACAGAGTCTGAGAGGATATTTTTATTTATAAATCATTTCTTTGAGTAAAAGACACATAGAAAGTTAATAGAAGTCATTATTGGTGAAACCATCAGAAAAAAAATAGCAGGGCATGATCCAGAGTAGGCAATTTAAGATGATGGATTATCAAAGAGCTTGTCTCCTTGTCAATTCAAAAAGCTTTCAGACTGCTCACTTTCCCTTTCCAAAGCTTCAGACTCAAATAGCTCTTCACAAAAACAATCGAGCTAGACAAATTGGTGTAATTGCTTGATGAAGCCTGGTGCCCACCACGTCCCTTTCCTGGTCTCCCAATTTTATCTAACAATGCTATGAAGAACGGGAATGGCCATCCATCCATCACCTGCGGTGCGCCAAGCACTACGGAGGGCGTGAACGTGTGCCATCTCATGTGAGACTCTCAATCACTGTATGATAAAGTCCTCAACATTACCACCTTATTCATGGGAAAACTGATACCCAGGAAAGTGAGAAAAATCAGCAGAGTTACAAAGTACTGAAACCAGGGTGAGAACGTGGGACCGTAGCCTCTAAGTTCACTAAACGGAGGTCAAGCTTGGACCCGCATCTTCAGACCACGGAATCAACATGTTCATTCATAGACCTTTCACAGCCCCCTAGTGTTACAGGTTAAATTATGCCCTCCCCCAAATTCATATCTTAACATTCTAATCCCCCAGGACCTCAAAAGCTGATCTTACTTGGAGATGGGCTCTTTACAGAGATAATCAAGCTGTAAGGAGATCATTAGAGCGGGTCCACACCCAAACTGGCTGGTGTCATTATAGGACAAGAAAATATGGACACAAAGACACACAGACCTACAATGAAAACACCATGTGAATATGAAGGCAGAGACCAGAGTGATTCTTCCACATGCCAAAGAACACTAAAGGTTGCTGACAAAATCACCGGAACCTGGTAAGAGGCATGAAACAGATTCTCTTTCATAGTTCTCAGAAGACATCAATCCTGCCAACACCTTGGTTTTAGACTTTTAGCTTCCAGTACTGAGAGCAGTAAATATCTGTTGTCTGAACCACACAGTTTGTGTTGCTTCGTGACACAGCCCCAGCAAGCTGGTGTACCCAGTCAGGTGGACGTCAAAGTCCAGTGCTGGTTTCACAAGTACGAACGGTCATAGCCGTGGTTGTTGCACATAGAGTGCTCAGCTCTTCCATCCACTTGTTCTCTATCCACTCACCACAGTCCTGAGAGGGAGCAGATAACGTCGTGTTATTTCCCCTACTTGACAATCAAGTAATTAAGGCCTGGGAATTTAGGTTGGTCTATGTCACTAGCCTACTAAGTATTTTAGGATTTTCAAGGAAGTCAGCATTGAGAAAAAGCCAAGTTCCACGCCAGCCATTGACTTTCTTGACTCACCTCTCCCTTCCTTGTTCAGGTGACCTCCATGGACTACCTTGGGTCTGGCCCCAGTGATACAGTGATACACATTGATTCTGGAAACTTGTGCTTCGCTCAGACCCTACACATTGATAGAAAAAGTTCTTACATCTCCCAAAAGCCATATTGCTAGTATTTTACTATGCACATTATCCATAGGCAAATTTGAAAGTTAGAGAATTTTTCATGTGTTTTACACTAGATTTCAAAAGCACAGTCCAATGTGTCTCAAATTATTTGGTTTAGCAGAACCAAAACTTGGACCTTAGGGAATCCAGTGTGAACTCTCCCTGAGCAATGCTAATTCCCAGAGGCAATGAGAGAGGACATCAAACAGGGCTGTGTTTCCTAAAATATCAGTATCAATGCCATCTTTCTACCACTATAACTTCTACCCTTTAGCTCAAAGGCTTCTCAGGAATTTGAGCATTCTCTGACGGTGTGCAGCATAAATAAACTAGAATGACTGTCTCATTTTTCAGAGGACCCTGACCCCTCGTAGAAAGTCCTTGTAGGCTTTATATTTTGGTCTGACCAAAGAGGACATTTACAGGAAGTTAACCCAAGGCAGCTACTCTCAATGCAGCACATATTTATTGCCTACCTCCATGATCTTGGTACTGTGCCATGACTGTGGAAGAGGAATGCGAGTACAACATAGCCTTCAACTTCATTTGCTCATAAGAGAGAGAGACAGACATATAAAGAGAACTTCCCAGAGGTGTGCTTAGTCCAGCCTGCTGATTTAGAGAAGGCTTCCAGGAAGATCTGGTGGCTAAATAGAGTACTCACCTCAGCTCTCTCATGCTACTAAAAATCACACACATTTTCTGAAGAACAAAACCTTCCAGAACATCTCAGGGAGTTCATCGCCCAACATGCTTACTGAAAAAGGAGTCCAAACATCTGCTTTCCAAATTGTATAACTTCTTCCTCCTTTCAAAAATAGTTCTCACTTATACCTCAGTGATAGTGGTGAATTTTTAATCTCCTATCAAACTTTTCAGTACTGTTCTATATTCTGAATGGTCTTTATTATCAAACAGTTTGCTAGGTACTTTGCTAAGTATTTCCATATTTGACCTCATCTAATTTCCCTGTTACAGATGCATGAATTTAAAGAACTTAATTAACTTATCCATGGTCATAAAAGTGGCAGAGGATGAAAGTTCTCTGCCCATACACATTCTGTCTTCTTCTTTTCTAAGTGATCCCAATTTTATTCAGGGAAATAAAACACCAACTAGAAATTACATTTCGCAGGCTTCCTTACATTTAGGGTAGGTATAGTGACATAGTCACTTGGAGGGGAGTGGTCCTAAAAACTTCCTTAAAGGGGCCTGCAAGTGGTGTGGTAGTTAAGACACTAGGCTCCCACATGGCCGACCACAGTTCCAGTCCCAGACCTGGTGGTTTGAAAATTATTCTGAGCACATGTGCATGCATGCCCCAAAATCCCAAGAGGATAATGGAGGAGAAGGGATTGCGGCCATCCCCACTGGGGAGTGGGTTCTAACTTTTTTCACTCACTGTCTCTCTCTGGTAAGCAGATGTGCCTTATGCCAAAAATCTTTAAGAGAAAAAAAAAAAAAAAACCCTTGAAGGAGCCTGAATCAGATAGCATTTGTATTGTATCTATTGTCATACTAGTGATTTCAGGTTAAAAAGAAATGAAGATTTTCTACTGATAATTCAGCCTCCAGCCCACAAACTCGAGTGGTAAAAGCTCCCTCAAGCCTTCTCTCTGCCTCTGCCTCTGTCTCTTTCTCTGCCTCTCTACCTCTGTCTCTGTCTTCTCATAGTTTTGTAATTTTTCCTTTTGAAAATTTTTTAAGGTAAAGCATTTTCTCAGCTTTCAGCCCCTCCTTTCTCTTTTTCTCATTAATAATCCCCTCTACTCCTCCCAACCCAGGAGAGGCAAGGGAGCAAGACTTCAGAAGACACCGTCATGGTTCCTAACAACTAGTGATTTCACATGGTGTACCGTGCAGTTTTCTAATTTTTGCTTTTTTATGGTGTACCGTGCAGTTTTCTAATTTTTGCTTTTTTAAAAAAATAATTTTTTTTAAGTTTTTTTTTTTTCCTTTTTCTTCCCTCTTTTTCTCTGTTTCTTGGTTGTTTTTGTTGCTGTTGTTTCTCTTTCTCTGTTTCCTTTTCTGCACACTCCTGGATGCTCAAATTGAACTTCAAGTTTGGGAAGAAACACACCATCCATCAAATGACTAGAAATCACTGCAGGGTCACAAGAAATATGGGAAAGCAAGAAAATACCTCTCCTCCAAGGGAAAAGATTAACTCCTCTTCGTCCACAGACAGTTCGATAGAAATCATGGAAATGTCTTATAAATAACATTCATAATGATGAAGCTAACAGAGATGGAAGAGAAGAGAGACAATGAACTGCAGAAGAGAAAAGAAAAAGGAGCTGATGAGTTCCAGGAGGTGAGAAAATTCTTGCAAGATCTAAAAGAGGAATTACACATTTTATAAAAGAATCAAATGGAACTGTTAGAGATGAAGACTATAATATAGGAAGTCAAAATCTCCCTTGAAAGTATTTAAAGCAGATTAGATCATACAGAAAGTAGAATCTCAGATGTAAAAGATAAAATTGCTGGCCTAGAAAAATCCACCACGAAGACTAAAAAAATTGCCCCAAATTTTGAGAATAACATATGAGAAATACTAGATACCATCAAACATCCAAACATCCGGATAATTGGCACCCTAGAAGGTGAAGAGACTCATAAGGGCATTGATAATCTATTCCATGAAATCCTGCAAGAAAACTTTCCAAACCTAGAGAGGCACTCAAAGAT